TTCAACATTGTATCCATACTATAAACAACACAATAAATATGTAGCAATTTGAATTTTTAGATCTAGTTCTAAAAAACATATTAAACAACTAAAATATTCTACACATGGGCAGTTACTGCCTCTAATGATCACATCATCTTTTAAAGTGGTTCTCAAAATGTGATTCCCATACCAATAGCATGAGCATCACTTAGGACTCTGTTTTTTTTTAAAAAATTGTGTGCCTTACTCCACACTCCCACTTGATGAAAAACTCTGGGGAGTAAAATTCAGCAACATGCCTTTCAGCTAGCCTTCATGATGACACATTATAATCTTTGAAATTCACATTAAAGTGAAATAATCACAGATAAAACTGTACCAATGTTAAAAGGACCTATATGAGGAAGGTTCTTTTTTTAAAATATTTTTAGTGTAGTTGGACATAATGCATTTATTTTTATGTAGTGCTGAGAATCAAACCCAGTGCCTCGCACATGCTAGGCAAGCGCTCTACCACTGAGTCACAACTCCAGCCCCAAGGATTGATACTTTAGTTGGGCTTTTGGAGAGCTAAGCAAACATTTTGAAAGGAAGAATTCTTTTACACATAGCAATGTTTTGGACCTGCAAAAGACTAGAAGCAAAAAGGCAGGTGAGGATTGTTTTAAGTCTAGCCAAGTACATACCCAAGCCAGGACTAAGGCAGTAAGAAGAGGTATTAATTGTGAGCATCTATGTTTAGGACATGTACATGGATTTAAAAAAGGAAAACAGTCACAGGTGATGCCAAATTCCAAACCTGATAGTGCACTTATTATTTTGATGAATGAAAGCAAGGAAATAATAGGCTTGAGTTTTTAAAATATTGCTTTTATTTGGGTTACCAGTAGCTGTTCAGTTGAAATTACTTACCGTGTTGTAGAATCTACCATACCTAAATATAATTTCTAGCTTTGTAGTCTTGGATAAGAAAAAAATATTTTTTTGCTTCAATATCTTCCTGTTCAAAATCAGCTTAATAGCTTACCTCATTGGCTGTTGTAAAAATGAAAATACACATTAAAATAATTTAATATAGATATGAAGAATCTAGTAGAGTGAATTGTTGGTCCTTGATTATTCAGTGTATTTAGCAACTATTAGCATCAATGAACTGAACAATTGAAAATAGATGACTCAAGCTCTTGTTAGGAAACAGAGGTAGTTAGATGTTGGAGTCATATGCAGGAAGTTGTTAATGGAAAATCAAGAAAGAGAAACGATTATTATAAAAAGAACATAAAAATATTAGAAACTGTCTAATATTTAACCTAGAGGAAAAAAAACCCTACATTTACTGGTGCTGAGAAGAAAAGAAGATGGAAGACACATAGGCAGAGACATATCAGGACCACATTCCTTTACTCAAACTAATCTGTTATCTATTTGCTTGTTCCTACCCATTCTGTTTTGGGGACTGTAATGTATTGTGACATTGGAAGTCACCTAATTATTTGGCCTGAGCAAGAATATTTCAATATCTCTTTTGATATAAAGCTCAGTATTTCACCAGTCAGCCAGTTCCCTTTTTGGAACTTACTATATTTGTTTTACATTTTTATCCATACCTATTATCTCTTTAAATTGTGTGCCTTATTTGATTTCTTCTTATTTCAGTGACTTATAATATTATATTAGTAGCCACTAGGACCCCTTTCTTCATTCCTTCAAAGATCCATTTATCTCCTAGTACATAAATTTTTTATTATAGTCAGTGGAAAGAATACCTTCATTTTCCATATTATTAGTATATCTTTACATTAATTTTCCATATCATTATTATATCTTTATATGTGTTCTCATTCAAGCCTATTATACTTAATATTTTAAAACTATAGCCAGAAACTTAAATGAGAAAATGGAAAACTAACCTTAAAATTATTAACTTGAGTTAATTATATATTTCATATGTATTGGCATATGTATATTGAAGGACTGATAGAGTTAAAACATACTTGTGTTGTTGAGAAAAAATGTTATATATAAGTTGTAAATTACTCAGTCAGGCTTCATTCCTACTCAGTAATTTCTGTGTGAAACTGATAATGCTTAAGTGGAATATCTACTGAAATCATTCATTGACTCAAAAATCAGGATGTAATGTAATTCTTGAATTATTGACTATATCTGACTAATAAATTTGTATTTGATTTTGCCAATCATCTAAAAAATACCATGAGCAAAGCAGATTTTATTTCCCCATCTCTACCTTTTAGTGTTTTATTTTAAATATTGTTCTTTGGTTTTTGTGGAGATTTTCCATCTATCACAAGCAATCCCAATTAGTTAATTTATAAATTTCATGTTCTTCCAATTGAAACTACCGTTATTCATAAATAAATTCATGTATTTTTTTCTTTTTACTATCTATAAAAGTAACTCATTTCATTGCCAAATTTCAGGAAATAGAAGTACAAAGATGAAAGTACATATTGCAGTTCTCACTTCCTTTTAATGTAACCACCATTAATGGTGTGTATATCTTTTGGACTTCCATAGCTATATATATATATATATATATATTAACAAAAGTAGAATTAAATGACACCTGCTATTTTGGAACGTACTTTGTTTTTCACAATTTTAATATCCCTTACTAATAGACATTTATATAATATTCAACTTTTGGTTGGTTTAAATCATACTGTGACACATATATTATACATTTCCCTTTGTGATTTTTGTACAGTCATCTTCTTGTGTTACTGGAAGTAGAATTGGGGAGCCAAAGTTATTTACTATATATGATCCTTGGTGTATGTTTGCTTGCTTTTGTTTAAAACATTCTTAATGTTATATCAATGATAATACAAAGGTTGACATAAAAGTAGTAACATTATATATCCAATAAAATAATATTCAGCTGTAAAATTAAAACCCACCAAAATTAACATTCTCACCAAAATTAAAATTAAAAAACACCAAAAATTAATATTCCACTTTTTCATGGAAAAACAATTCTAATTTTTAAATTATTGCTGCAAAAATTAAATAGAAAGTGTGAAAGAATAGGAGGAATCAAATTGTACTGAACATTTCACAACCAAACACCATGTAGCCTTTAAAATCTTCAATTAGTCAACAATGATCACATTATAGTGTAAAATGGAAAGAAATTGCTTAGTAGAAATAATGTATAATTCATTGTTGAGAATAGATATGCTGGAAGAAAGATATGGCTATCACATATGGGGTTTTAGTATAGTCAGCAATTATTTGAATACATTATTCAGCTTATTAATGATTATCATTAATAGTTCTTTCCTAAATTCTCTATAAACATGTTTTATCCCTCCAAACATAACTCAAAATTTCTCTCTTTTTTTGGCAAACAAAATGATCACTTGTATTTAAACTAATTTTTCTTTGATACTTAGCTTGTAAAAATGGCTTTAAGGACACTACTTAGCTATTAGAGGGATGAGAATCAATGTAATATACCTTTGGACATATAACAGTCCCCATTTACATATAACAAGAGGCATTCAACCAGTTCTGTAACTCTGCTAGATCTGCATTAACATGTTTTTAACTGACAGCCTCTTACTCATCTTAGCCATATATCATAATAATCATTTTGACTCATATCTGAGACCCCTGAAGTTTTAAGAATTATAGCATCTTGCTTCTTTTTTCCCTGACTCCTTCTATTCATCATCACTCAATTCTGCTGTAGTTGAGGTTATAATTTACATAAATGCTTATTAAATATACTTACATCTGTTGTTATACCACACAGGCTTCATTCCAGGTTACTTCTTTATAGTGCATAGGGGCCTTTCTTCTTTTGGTGAAATGCTCATCTCTCTAGCTTGAGTTAAGATTTTCCAGGCAAACATGGTGAATAGCAGACAAAAGACTTGCATTCTCTTTCACTTGGGTGCCTTCAAAAACTAGATCACTGTTTATACTATTTGCTAAATTGTTTGCAATCCAGGATAAATTTGACCCAGTGTAATTGTATAACAACACATCCTAGAATATTATAACACATTAGAGTTGGGACAAAAGGTTTTTCACTGTTTTAAATATGAAGTATATTTTTTAAAAGCAAATATTAGAATAATAAATATTTTAATGTATTTCTTTAAAGCATAGTTCTAGGATTTCAGTTACCTGATACTGTATTACTAGTCTGTTTTAAAAGCATACTAACAAAAAGTATTCTATGTTCAGAATTTTAAAAGGATGATGAGTGAAGTAATTTAACATGAATAACCATGGAGCCAGGTTTCAAAACATTTATTAAGTATTTGGCTTAATTATATAACGTGTTTTAAGGTGATATTCAAATAGAAAGGCTTCATTAAATTTGACACGCCATATTTTACGTTTATAGGGTTATTTGGAACACATTTCCAATAGCTGCCTCATTGGAGTAGCATTACCTTGTCATTTATTATCCTATCTTTATAGCATGGTAAAAGGTTCATTTATTGATGCTATCATCCTTGCATCAGAATGTTGCCTTGGTGTGTCAGTATTAGCTATTGGTAGTATAATGTCAGTGTATTTTAGAGATACTTGTAACCACAGATCTCTAAAAGATGGTGATGAGAAAGCATGTGGTGTAGTTTGTAAGCTCAGGACATTGCCAAATCCTTGTTTTCTGGCATGTGGACTTTCAAATTGTGCTTATGAATAGAGCTTGGATTTCTACCTAGCAGCTAAGCAGCATTAATGGTGACATAATTTCTTTAAATTCTAAATTATTCCAATGATTAGGATACAGTTTTACTCTCTGCTTTAACATCGTAAATGTCCATTATGTTGTCTCATAATTATATGGACTTTAATGCAGTAACATGGTTAATAAATTCAAAGATAAAATTTCTTTTTTGAGTATATATCTCCTGAAAATTGATAGGATGATACACCAATTATGTGATTTTTTTTTACTAATCTTATTAAAGGGGGAGAACATTAAATCTTTGAATACTGTACCTCAATTTTATTGTAATGATTTTGCTGGTTACCAGGTGGGGTGGCAGTTGAAAAATTTGGTGAATGCACTACGAGAGGACCCGAGTGGTGTTATCTTAACTTTGAAAAAGCGACCTCAGAGCATGCTTACCTCAGCACCAGCTTTACTGAAAAATATGAGATGGAAGCCCCTTGCTCTGCAGGTAATGAAGCTTAATCATAAGTCATACACCATCATTTTAGCCATAGATTATCTCAGTAATGCTTCTTTATTGTGCCTCATCTCAGCAGCATATGGATTTAATCTTGTATGCTTTTGAAAATTTGTTTGTGAAATGATCTCTTCACAGCTTATCTTAATAGGCTTAATCGTCATGAAATCTGAGAAAGTAACTAAAACCCAAATGATAAAGAACTCTGCCTTAATTTATAAACACTTAAAGCATAATTCCAAAAAGCCACAAATATATCATGCCAAAATATGGGTAGAATTGAAAGTAAGAGATTTCATTTTTGTGATATAATCTTCTGTTTTATAGGTTATAACTGCATATGCTTCTGGAAGAAGCTAGATGATATGTTAAAGAATTCTTTTAAATCAGGTTATAAGATAGTGATAGTAATTTGTGGACAGTAGGAAGATAAGTTTTAAATTTTAATTAAAATTTACCTAGTCCATTCCTCCCGAGTGTTTTTGACTTTTCTATCTTGTAGAATAGCCAAAATAGAGAAATTGTCACATTAAAATTTTTGCATTTTTATTCAGCATGAAATATCACTCTAAAATATTATGCTGGATATTGACAAATTAATTAGGAGATATCTATAAAGTTATAAAAGTATTCTAGCTGGAAAAAGGCAATGAAGTAATACATTTCCTTTCATTTCAATTAGAATGTAATATTTAAACATATCGTAGAATTTTTTCTCTTGCAAAACCTGCATTTTTAAATATTTTTGGTTAATTTTAGTTGTAGTTGGACACAATACCTTTATTTTATTTATATGTGGTGCTGAGGATTGAACCCAGTGCCGCATGTGCTAGGCAAGTGCTCTACTGCAGAGCCACAACCCCAGCCCCCAAAACCTGCATTTTTAAATTACCTTTTTGTAGAAGTCAAATTTTTAAAAAAATTGCCCATTGCTCAGATTAAAAAAGAGAAGGAATATATGGAAATGCATTATTGTCACTGGTATGCAAATTGTTGTTAAGCTTGATATTAGTACTTTTTACCATTCATAATTTTTTCCCTAGTTCTCTATTACACATGACTGGCCTTTTGGATTATGATGATTTTTCATTGTCTAAAACTTTAATTATTATTAACATCAAAGTTATCATTATACTTAAGTCATATAAAAACACATAAAATGTTACAACATTAAGATCTTTAAATTTTTAATGGGAATCTATTTTTCAAATTAATAAATTTAAACTGAATTGATATGTCCAAATGCATTTGACCTACAGTATTTGTTATTAAATATATTTGATGATCATTAAAGTTCAGAGGCCAGTGCTTGCCTCATTAAGTCATAGATGAACAGATCAGACTTTCCCATCACATCATTTTTTTTTTTCTTACTGCATTTCAAATTGCTTTGTTGTTCCACTCTGGAGTTTTCTATTGAAATGTCTTCCCCAAGATCCTTCTTCAAAGTCTGAAAAGGTGGGCACCCTGAAGAGGCCCATACTTTCAGCCATTAGGCATTGTTCTCTGTATATGTCTACTTAAACTTAACAGTCTTTTCTAGTCCCTCATAAAGGGACTTGAACACCAAAAAGATCCTGGTTTCTTGTTGATCTGTGTGTTCTGTTTGAGGAAATGTATCTAGCTAATAAATTGATAATTTGTTCCTCTGTTGGATTTTTTTAGACAAATGCAAACTGGAGAGTTAAGATAATAGCTGTACCCAATTAAGAATAACTTTTATGTAAAATGCCGAAATAATTGAAAGACCAATATTTTGTTACACATACATTTAGTATATGTATTCAAAGCTAGAGTACAAAAACTATAGTTTTAAAAATTACCTCACATCATTTCTTACCTATAATTATAATAGATTTTTAAAGTATTGTTTCTAAGTCCATTTCTAAATACCAAGAAATTTGCCTTCTTATATTATTAATTGTTTATTCCTTATTGCTTATTCAGTTATGCTGAGTATATTTGTAAATTTTTTCAGAATGCAAAAATCTGAAAAAGGGAAACCAAAATTTATATGTGTTTATATATTTATCAACATATTTGTAAATTCATTATTTCAACTGAATTTGGTTCACCTAAAATGTATTGGCAATGGTCAATCATCTGTATATTAGTCATGCTATTATGGAGAAAAAACTACTTTTAACATCTTTGAAAATTGCTTCAGTGCTTTACTTTTTTTACAGATTAGAAGGAAGAATATTATTATTAATTCAATACTTGCAGTTGGTGTTAAAACAAGGTCTTAAAAAAAAAAGGAGTAAGGGTAATGGATAAGTTCTTTAATATACAATCCTTACACCTCTGCCAAATGTCCCTGCATCCTGTTTTGAGGACCTGAAATTGTACCATTATAGAATTCTTTATCTTAAGACTTTGATATATGCTAAAATGCAGACACTTGGAAGCATAATGGAAATTATCTGGTCAGAAATTCCATAGAATATAAATTCTGATACAACCAAAAATGAACAAAATTTTAGGGTACCAGGATCTCAAGATTGAAGTTAGACTGCCTCCAAAGGGTTAAAAGTCACAGAAATAGTGGGATAAGATGGTTTTGCAGGCAGCTGTGAAATTTTTCATGCTATACCTGAGGTCATGTTTTCTTCCTAGTGCCTAAGGAACAACCTCAGATGTGAAGCTTAAGTGCTAAACATAGTACTAATCCTCTGTGTAGGTACAAGTGCCATTCTTATTGTTCTTGCTTCTGTTATGTATATAAATAAGTTGGAGAAAAATACCCATTAACTCATCTAAATATAACTCTTCAGCACTCAACCTTGAATAACTGTGCATTAGATTATTTCCTTTTTCATAGAGGTACTGGTATTCTACTAAGAATTGCTTAAATTGGAGGCTACTAAAATCTGTGATGTTTATTTATCTGGTATGTCTTTTTCTTAGACTATACCAGTCTTAATAGATATTAGCATTTTCAGATAAAATATAGCAAAGTTCAAGTAGACACTAGTACATGCATCTTTTTTTAAAAAATTTATTCTAACATAATGGTTTTAAAATTAATAAGGAAAATTGTTATCTATACAAATAAAATATAGTCTTAGATACTCTAATGTAACTTTAATAAAAGTAGTTCTATTTTTAAATGTTTAAAAAGATAGTGACTTCTAATATTCATTAACTACAATGATGAATTTTAATTTGGATTTTCTTTTGATACTTATTGATAACATTATAGTGAAATAAACAAAAGCATACAATTCAACTTCATACTCACAGAGCAATTTCATCAGTACATTTCATAAAATTTGGCAGCTCTTCTGAAAAATTTCTGATTTCTCAAACATATGTGATAGAACTGAAGGACTTAAAAATTCTTTAATTAAATACTACAAGCAGATTTAATTATATTTGAAAGTTTTAATTCTGTTATTTGCATACTTTCATAAATGGCAGAGACATTTTACTTGAGGTAGAATCTTTATTGTAAGAAGCAAGGGATTCCTTGCTTTCTGGGAACTATTTCTCAAACTTAATTGCACCCTTTATTAATTTCCTGGATTTAGGTAAGCATGTTGATTGTTTATGGTCAAGTTCTAATTTGATGAAAAAAATTTCCAGGGAACTGTGGATAAACCTCAAGGTATATTGGATATTTTAAATTAGTACGTGTAATAGCATGCATGGGAAGTATCATTTCTTTTTAAAAGAAATATCTTGAACTATTAGCTAGACACTGAAAGTTCCTTGAAATTATCACTGGGAATCAGTGATTTTTGTAAATTTAATAATCCAGTTTTTTGGGAGCAGAATGCATCTCATAAATAATCATTAAAACAATGCTGGAATTCAACAAACTGATTTAGATATTGTTACATTAGCTGTATAATTAGAATTATATTCTTAAACTGTATTCCAATACATAAATTTCTTATGTTGATACCATAGTTACTTGTGTGATTTTTGTGCTTTTCTATTTAAATTGTATTGTTTAGTATTACCTCAATGACATTTTTACAGGATATTTAAACACCTTTGAGCAAAAACAGAAATAGAAAATAATCCTAACATTAAACTTTGTCTGTCAATTAGTGTAACAACTGGAGAATGCTGATGACATTACATTTCAACTATATACAGATATGAATGGTTAAATTTATTCCATAAAAGTCAAAACACAAAAGTAGCAATAAAATTTATTTCAATATCTAAGTTATGGGTTGGTGTGACTGAAATAAAAATTAGTGACAGAAAGTTTATATGTTTCTGAGAATTTTATTTTAACAGCATGTTTTGAAAAGGACAAAAACTAATATTAGATATGACACTAGAGAAAAATGCGTTTTAAAAAATGTAATTGTGCTAACTAGAAGACAATAACAGTTGTTATGTTTTACATGTTCGAATTAGCAAATAGCTACAAGCAATTGTCATATCAGCTTTTAACTCACCAATCTTTAAGTAAATCAATTAAAGAATTTTAAGTCACATTTGTGTTTTTGAGTCAAATGCTTTTACAGTTAGCAATGACAACAAATAATCAACTAATAATGAAAATATTAGCCATACTTTTTAAATTAATATCCTAAAAATGATGTTTACTGTAATTTGAAAGATGTTGCAGTTTAATTATATTCATAAAATTGGACATCACATAATTAATATATGAGTGTTAGACTCAATACAGTGTGCAAAAGTTGATTTGGTGAAAAAAAAAGACATTTTTTTACGGTGACTCTGAAGTCTATATTAGTTATATATTGTGTTATTCCATACATATATTTATGCTCATATATCTGTATTTTAACATAGGCAAATATGATTTCCTGATTGAATCTATGGTCAGAAAAATATCTGTTTTCTTTGTAGTAAAATAGAAAATAAAGTTACATATTTACAAAAGAAGACTCAAATCTTTTGTATTTATAAGCTTGAATTCTAAAAGAAGCTATGAAATAACTGAGAATGGGACAATGTTGAATACATGCGCTTCCCTTGCTTAAGTTCCAAATAATTTACTACTTAAG